ATAAGTGTTAATTATGAAAATCTTTGATCTACCGGATCTTTTTATAAGGTCTGAAAATCATCTTGATATATATGCTTTAAACTCACTTTGTGATGGTGTCTCTTGGTCGTGGTCTGGTTTTCTGTCAGATGCAAATTTTATTTGATTGACGTCTGTCCCGAATGGTGATCCTTTCTGGGTTATCCGTAGCTCTGACCCATTGGGTGCGGGTTGTTTCTGGAGTACTACTATTCCCAGGTTCGGTAATATGTCGTTTCCGAGGAGATTTCTTTCTGCTCTTTTAGTAATGAAAAGTTTCTGATCACTAGCGTCCCAACCCTTCGATCGAATTCTCACCCGAACTCTTCCAATAATGTTTATTGTGCTCCCGAAGCTCTGATACGCTTTCTTTGTTTTTTTGTCCAAAGGTTCTAACTTTAAAAGTCTACCTCGTATCTTCAATTCATGAAGTAGGTCTTTTCTCATGAATGAGACTGGGTTTGCTGAGTCAATTTGAATTTCGGTGCAGTAGGGGTTGAAATTTCCCAGAGATACAATCAACGTCTTTTTTAGTTCTAGGCCTTCGCGACTAAATACGGTTCTCACTCCACGTTCGATCTTATCTTCAAATGCATTAATTTGAATATCCGTGTCCACCGCTAGAACTAAAAAATCATCTAAGTTGACTTCGAATTCGGGATTCTCCTGCGGGTTAACCCGGGTATTTTATTTTTCATGGGATATTTGGTTTTGTTCGACTATGTTTGTTTGCATTCTTGCTGTACTCCTGCAATGTTTTGCATAGTGGCCTTTACGACCGCACGTATTGCAGTTTCTATCTCTGGCTGGGCATGTAGTTAGGTGTCTTTTCTTGAACTGCTGACCACAGTTGCGACACTTATTGTTTTCAACGATATTTGGGGTCGGTTCATTCTTTATGTATTGTGGTCTCTGTACCGCTTTATAGGCAGGGAATTTTAGGTACTGTTGATGAACTTTGGTACCTTTCTCATGGACTAGTACGTAGGATAGTACGTTTTCTGGAGTCAAGTATTCGATGCATAGTTTCTTCTGTATCTCGACGTTTCGCATATTTGTAATGAAAATGTCTCTGACTAATTCTGACTCGAGTTCTCCCAACTTACAATTTTTTGCCAACTCGGATAGTGTTTTGTGGAATTTCTCTAAAAAATCGTTTTCTTTCTGTCTTAGATCAAAGAAATTAAATCTTTCGTATGTTAGATTTGTAGTGACCGTTAAAGTAGTTTTAAGTAATTCCCAGAATTCAGCAAAGTTATTGTCCAGTGTGTTTTTTACCAGGATTTTTATGTGAGAAGCATTTTTGTCCTTCTCTTCCAAGTGCCAGGTGTAATTGTGATTTTAATTTCTTGTCGATATCTCCGATTTGGAGTCCGTTGAGTTTTGCGTTGTCTTCTGCCTTTCTCCTTCTCATTTCTTCGTTGTAATCTCGGATAGCTATTCGGTGACGTTCTTCATTTTCTGCCCAACGGGCTTGATCATCGGACGGATCCGTTGGTTCGGCCATAGAGTATGTTAGTTCGTGTCTTGCCTGTGGATTGATTATGTCTTCAATGTCCACGGAATCTTTCCGGATGATTGTTAGTTGGAACTTTTCTGACCACCTTTCCCAGTCGTGTTGGCTTTCGCTCAATGTGTTGTTCCAAAAAAGATCTAGTCATTGTAGGTTCGACTCGTTTGACTGCGCAATGTTTAGAAATTAGCATAAAACCGTCTGTTGCTTAAAATTGGTTAAACTTAAACTAAGACTAGTTTAAGACTGGTTGGTTTAAGATTTCAACAATTTAGTTGTAGGCTTTTATCTAAGACTAGATTGAAGACTAAGGTAACTAGGCTAAGTTGAGAGTTAAGTAAAAAGGTTGAATTAAGAGTTAGTTGCACAGAATTAGTTGCGTATCAAAATTGACAATGAATCAATCTCTAGATCTATCAAAAGCCGTTGCGCTTTTGGCAGGTATTTAAATTAGCATGGTCATAACTGAATATAACTTAACGGTTAAAATGTCGACAATAAGTTATCACATTTGACAACGTGATGAGATAGTCAGCTGATTGGGTATATCTATCTCTCAGAAGTCTTTACAAATATGAGTTTCGAAATTAAAAATTGCAGATTCCTGCCTTCTAAATTTTTTATGCAGTCGGAACAAAAGCCAAATTTATTTCTGTGCACAGCTGAATTTTGGAGTTTTTTGATCAGACATCAAAAATGTTTGACATCGCGAGTTCCTAAATGTTTGACCTCATTTTTCTTCACAATATTCAATCGGTATTCAATAGGCCAATTACGATGATTTAAATGTTTTTATCGAAGCGATGAACAAAAAACCCCTCTTGATAGCTTTAACAGAAATTTTGTTAGGGGGTTTTTCGAATAACTGTTTTAGAATGATTTTAAAAACCTTGCGAACTTCATCAAAAGTGGAGGAATGGGAGGAAGTGTTTAAAAAAATCGTTTAAAAAAAGAAATAATAAATTACCAAAATCTTAATACTAATGGAACCTGATCTAAACTACATTTTATTATTGGATAAATTAGATATTTCATCACGATAAAATATTTAATATTAACCAATCATATTCCATCTAACTAACAACCCACTCATTTGTAAGTGCTGAAATTACTTTTAATTTCAGCACCAGAGAGATTTGAATTTAACTTAGAAATTAGTTACCTCTCCAAGAGAACTTTAGCAATCGCAATAAGCCAGCATACTCTAGATCTATTGAGCCTAGCAGAGACTAGTTAAACACCCTGAGACTAGTAGATATAAGAGTAAGATTAGGATCGGTATTAGACTAAGAAGTTGCACGAATCTATCCGGCCGAAAATAAGATAGCGTGACGAGCAGACCGTGTACCCTATCCGAAATTACTCTATGAGTTATACCATTGAACTTAACTCATTAACTACACAAGTTTAATTCATTTTCTTTAAATGTTTAATAAAGGTCTGTTACAAACCCCGAAAAACAAAACAAGTTTCGGGGAGTTTAATGACACGATGATGGCCAATATATTTTTGAAATTATTTAAATTAGTTCCGATAAATTTTTCTAAGCGCAAAAGAAAGATTTGATCGAACAATTAGAACTGCTGAGTTTGAATCCTAAATCCATTTTGACTGCCTTTATAAGAAAACATGGAAACCAAAAGACCACAATTGATTTAGTCTTTACTAATTTTCTTTAAAAAAGATGCGTCCTTGTAGGGAACTAAAGCAAAATATTTTTGTTCAAGTTACAAAGACAACGAACTTTTTTGACGCGCTTTGATAAAAGATCAAAAAAAACTGAACAAGTCTGAGAAGTTAAAAAAGAAAAATAAAGTTCTTAGCAGACAAGTGACTTCGTTAATTGTTTCATCTCCAAAAGTGAAATAGAAAGGTTTTTAAGTATGAAAAACAGAGTGAAATGTTTACCAAGTCTATGAACTCCAACATAAACTCCAACAAAAAAGGATGTCTATGAGTGTCAGAATAGTCTACAACACATTTGGAAATATTGATGCGTCGATGCCGAAACTCTTTTTATCAATATAGGAAAATCGAAGCTTGGTGCTTATACTCACAAAATGAAAGATAATTATCTAATAGACTTTGAGGTGTTTACAAGGATAATTTGGTAATTGTTTCGTCTAAAACAAAATTTATAATTATTTTTTATGTCTCTGACAGTTGTTCTTCGCAAAATTTTTTTCATTCTGAAATTTGTTGACAGTTTTTTTTTGAAGAAAAACAGCTAGTTAACTTAAATTTACAGATAAAATGTCACAAGGATAAAGGTTAGGAAAGCTCCCACACGGCGCTTTCTAACAGGCTAAAAAACTTTCAGCGTGCGTTCAAGTTCGGTGCTCGGTAAACGTTAAATTATAAGTTGAAGTTATCAGTGCCACAAACCGTCCTTGAGAACAGTTTAGTATGATTAGGCATCATGGGTGCCCAAATAGGTAAATCAGGCGCTGATGATGCAAATGTTGGCGTGAACACTGGAATTAGATGTATTCGCCGACGCATTTTTTACTGGGAGATCGACTAGTTTCAAATCAAAACATTGTTACTCGCACTACTAAAAATACAAGAGATTTTTCAACCCGAAATCTGACCCTGTTCGATCCAATATTTAATCCAGTTTGATCCGTGAATAAACCCTGTTTAACCCATGATTCCACTCTGTTTGATGTTATTCAACGCTGTTCGACCATGATTTGAACCAGGGTGGGTCGAAAACCTTATACAGTCCCACTATTTCAGTCGAATCATGAGCTGAGCTCCTCAACTTGGGTTGCATTAAAAATAGGATCTAATTAGTATTCATCTTTGCAGCCGATGAAATTTCCTTTTGTCAGACTAATCTCGGGATCTAATTCTTTCGGGACTGTTATATCAAGTATCGCTCTTGACTTTTATGCCGTCCCCTAAGGGTTCAATCATCAGTTTTCAATAAGATTTAGTGCATTTTTAATAAGAGGCTACCATCATTCGCAAAGCTTTTTTAGTTGCTATTCTCTTCTCAACGTACGGATATTTAATTCAATTTATCTAGGTGAAAAAAACGTCACTCATTTGTATGATTTCGAGTCTAGACAGGTAATGCAGAGTAAAGTCTCTTGATTGGATTTAACCAACGAACTAATTTTGAGGGAATTCAAGTGTGATTGAATTGGCGATATGCTGAAGAGACCGGGTATATCTTTTCCTGTCAGCGTGATCAGATAAATCTATGAACTCAGATTAAAATGACATTTGTATATTGCTAGCTCACTTTCCATCGACATGAGGTTAGTCTTCCTGAGAGGATAAAAAAATCAGTTTTGAGAATTGAGATAGTTTGTGTAAAACACTCTAAATGCATGTCAGAAAACTTTTATGGGGTAAAAATTTTGCAGCCTGATTTTTTTAAACAAAATTTTGAGATTTAATCCTATCTGTGGATTTTCGCACAAATTGAAAATAGTTTATACACTTTGCGAAGAGTGAAAGATTTAAAAACAAAACAAAAAATGTCCATATAATTTTCGAACGGGGCTACCGCTTTACTACAACATAAAATACTATTTTATTTATCATATTCATCATCATTTCTGTCAATGATCTCGCCATTTAGTCGGCTTCTGAAGCAGTTTGTTAATCTCATTCTGTTGATTTGGGTTCAAACTCACTCCATTGTTATTTGGGGGGAACCTACCCCCCTGTTGAGAAGACCTGTTTGTTTTGGCGCCCCCCATCATCGAACTAGTGGTGCTCTTTCTACCACCAGTAGGAGGGTCCAAGGGTGGTAACTGACGATTCGATTTCATACTTTGAACATCAAAACTGAAACAAACTTTGATGTAAATTTTCAGCTTTATCATAAAACACTAAATAGAAATGTTCTGTAATCATCAAACCAAAAAATGACCCCATTGCTGGCAATTTTTTGAAAACATCCATATAGTTACAAGTGTGAAGAACTTTTCGATGAGTCATAAAGCTTTTTTAGTTATACCCAAAAAACAACAAATGGCTTAAAAGCCTGCTCTTTACTCCGTCTCTAAGAATTGGTCCCTAAAGTTGGCTGGTCTCTAAAATGGATGTTGTAAAATAGAAGGTTAGTTAGTTATTGCAACGAAAGTTGAGGGAACGTTGCTGAGGGCTATATCTTGCACGAACATATTCCTAAAAAGTAACCGTTTATCGCCTAGCAAGATAGCCGTGATAGTAAAAAAAGTGTCGTACCCTGGAGAAGTTTTTCGGCTGTCTGCAAAACTGACTTTATTTCTCTCGCTAAACCGGCTAATTGAACTTCTGTCCGTTTTCAGGGCTGATTTACGCGTGTTAGCTCTAGAAATGCCCTCCAAGCTGTCTTTTTTACCCCTCATTTCTGGTGGACCTCTTGATTTTTGGGGATACCCGTAGCCCGCGGGGAGTCCAGTTTGCGAAGACGCAAAAAGAGCATCGACAGGGTCCTCGGCTTTTCGGCCAATTGCTACTCGGTTCCCGACTATCCGATTGGCGCTTGAATTTCCTCCTACTGACGATCGCTCAAGGGAGTCGCCTCGATCCGAATATCCGTCGCTGTCGTATCGCCGAGTGGTCGAACGACTCGCGCTGCCGAGGCCTGAATCACGAGCTGTGAATCGTCCTCTAGATCTAGTAAATCTCGTGCTCGCAATGCTACGCGCGTCAAAATCCGATTCATCGGACAGTTTTGGTCTCGGTCGCCCAAACTCTTCTAATATTTCCCGTCGTTTTGGCGGATTCGCTCTTTTTTCGCGCCAACTTTCTTGTTTTTTATTACTTTCGTTACTGACTTGATGCAGTTCCTTCGCTTCGTAATGGTTCAGCTAAACAAAGTTTTGAACGTTTTAATTTAATGACTGTTTATCATCATTTATGGTCATACCAATCTAAAACTGTTTTTGAATCATTTTGAAGCCTGTTGGTGTGCAAAAACTGTTTAATGATTCTTCCTTTTGCAGCTGAGCATATAACGATATCTGCTCTTGTTTTTGAATGAATATTTTGCTGAATCGACAAAATTATTCATTCTCTTCACTTATGAGTTTGATCAGGTATAACTTTTACCAAGCGGTTATTTGGAATCGTTTTTTTTTCTGATAGGAAAGGGGTCTATTTAGTACTTACTACATTGAGTTCCTGGTTGTAGTCGTTGCGGACTCTGTTGACCTTGAAGTAAGCCTTGGCCTCCTGCTCTAACCGCCACTCCGTCTCCTGCAGCTCTTCCGCCAACTTCGCATACGTCTTCTCCTGCTGACTCAACATCTTCTTCCAACGCGCCTAAGCCACGAAAGTAGATCAATTCTGATTAAGCAAAGAGTCTCTACATGATTATGGTGCGAATTGTAGAAAATTTGAGTTAAAAAAACGGCGCCTTCCAGTTCCCCTAGTGATTTATTCTAAAGAAATTTCTAGAGTGATTTTTGATGCTCTGAACTGTAGAAAGAAAATGTCAGCGTGAACAAGTGAACTAAGCGATTCAACATTTCCAACGCGTATATTACCGTGTGAAAATTTTTTAGACTATTCTATGGGGTGAATCTACGAAAGAGAGGAGACTGAAAAAGAGCCAGAAAAATGACTTTTTGTAGACTTTCGAGAAAACTTTCAACCAAAAAATGGTAATCTTAATATTTTTTTTAAAAAAGCCACCGTATCGCTTATTAAAAAAATCGATGGAAAAAAGTATTTCCTTTTAATGAGTTAATGTAGTAATTTTCTATATGAAAGCAGTAAGCAATTAACTTACGTCGGATAATTCGTCGAACTTCTTTAAAGGTGGCTCATTGTCTGAAATAGGTTTAAAAGGAGTAAAAAAAATCAATATTAATTCACATTTTGTACTAATCTCGCTGAATTTAAGAATCAGACCTGAAAATGGTTGCTTGTTTTTAAACTTGTACCTTCAGTTTTCTATAATCCTCGTTAGCTTATTTGAGATAATTGACTTATTTAATGGTAGTTGATAGGAACTCACTTGCGATTTGACTTCTGACATTTTCAATGGTATCCGTGAGTCTGAGGATCTCGAGGCCTGTGATGTTGTTGTGTTCCTGCTGATTCTCAAATCGCGACTTCCACTCATTTCCTAGAATTTCAAATCAAACTCAGTTCTCAATTACAAGAAAAAGTGAAGAAAAAGAAACCAGAAAAGTTTCCGAGAAACTTTTGCATATCAAAAAGAGAACTTTTCAAGAATATAAAAGCTATAAAATAGAAAATTTTATTATTTGATTATAGATGAAAAACTTACCTGCTGCCATAAAAACTATTAGCAGCAGCAGCAGCAGCAGCAGCAGCAGCAGCAGCTTATAAATGAAACTTTCAAAAGATTTCTAGTTTACAAGGAGATGATAGAAACTAGGATACAGCTACTCACAAGCAAATAAAAAAAATCTCGACAGTTCAGAAATGCATAAGAAAAACATCAGTAATTTTAAAGTATCAGATACTAACAAACTCCATTGAAGGAACTTCAGAAATTTAACTCACTCAGACCAAGTCCTGAAAACATGAATTAAAGTCTGAATTAAAAATCAATGTGACATAGTGAAAGTAGCTGGAGAACAAAAAAATAAATTTGTACGGCCAAAAAGTTCTTGTAGTCAGAAAATAACAAGCCTTCAAAGTTTTATATCATGTAGAGTCAGGAATCTTTCATAGGGAACCAGTGCTTTATCGTGATTCAAGGTTTTCTGTAATGAATGTCGAATTCGCAAACCCCTTTATGCCCAACCAAATATGCAGCTTTGCTGTTACACAAGGAACAATGAACATTTTATCAGCAGTTTTTTGCAAAACTCTTTCCGAAAAACAGAAGACGAATTCAAGTTTTTCAAGCAGTTTCCCAATTTGAAAAAACTCTTATTTTCAAATTACTATTTTATTCCGCTAAATTGCCAAATCAATGATTAGATCAAAAGATGCAGAGCAACTTACTCTCCATGTTGTTTTGACCTCGGATTGACCATCCTATAAAAAAATTCTCTAAGTCTTAGAACTTTTTATAATTTTTGAAGGAAATTTACGCTATCTTACAAATTTCTGATAGGAAAAGTGGCAAGACAGCAACGTTTTTCCAAACCTCTAAAACATAGCCAAAAATTTTGAATGTGTTTCTAAACCGTAATAACAGATAAAATTCAATATTGGATTTTTTTCAGTTTTATGCATGTAAAAACTTTAGATGGTGCATTTTGAGCTAAAATATCCGAAACAAAAAATTTGAATTGTTTTTTTTTAAATCTCTTGGTTATACGTAATAAACGGTTCAACGATTAAGGCATATGTTGACAAAATTTCTACTTACCAGCAAAAAAACTAATTCTATAAAATCTCTTTCTTAAATCATTTTCTAAATTATAATTGATACAAAAACTGCAACGAGTCTTATTTACTACAAAATTACAAAGTAGCTGAGCATTTACATTGTTCTAAATCACCTATACACAAAAAAAATAACCAAAACGATTAATAATTTTTCCAGACAATGTGTGGATTTTGGATTCTAGTCCTAGTGTATTTTCCACCTGTTTATTCCAATAAAGTTTGATTTGGAAACAGGGGCGGATCTAGATTTGGAAACAATTTTTGAAAACTTTGTCGATAATTTTAGGTCAACCAAATTGAGTTTTCCGAGCTCTCCCAGAATACTAGCAGACCGTAATTGAACGTAAATGTTTGCACCGCAGGCAATATTTTGAAAAACACAGGTCAGAAAGGGCGTTTTTGGGTACTTTTTGGAAAGTTTCAACAAAAAAACACCTTTTTTTGCGCACGCTGCAACTAAAAATTAGTATAAGTTGGCGCCGAAGGCTGCTGTAGAAAAATCTTAGGGTCGGTCAGCCAAAAACGGGTTCCTTAGAAAGTACTGAGGGGACCCTTTGGGTTGGCAGGGGTTCGAATCCCTGAAAGGGAGCGTCCGCCTCTCCCTAAGTCTGCTATGCTACTGCTGAGTTATCTTCTCCAAATTTCAGTCTATAAACACTGAGATCGGCCTATTCACATGTGTGTCATTTGGCATGTTCATTTAGAGGATAATTTTAGTTTTTCATTTACATAAAACATCCCGCAACCGCTCCCCGCCAAGTAACCTTATTTTGTAGGCTACAAAAATAATCAGACCATACCCGCACTGGAGTTCCATGGATAATAATTGATTATATTGTCATTTTATAGTCAGTATCTATAAAATTACAAAAATAATTGATTGTAATCCATCAAAAATGGATTATAATCCATTGTTTTTTTATATCATTATAATCCATTATAATCGATTATAATCAATTTTAATGGATTTTTTCAATAAATTAGTCATGAAATTTACATTTTTTTCAAAGTTATCGCGTTTTCTGTTTAGTGGAGATGCTACGTATTAGGTTTCATAAAATGTTACATTTCTCTTTTCACAATTTTTATAATTTTTGTCTTATATATCTCGTTTACCCCTCCCCCCCACCCCACTACTGTTTAACCCCCTCACCCGCCCCGTTTTCCTCCCTGTTTACACCCCCCTTTGTTTAACCCCCCCCCCCCCGCGTTTTCCTCCCTGTTTACACCCCCGTTTAACCCCCTCCCCACCCCCACATTACCCCCACCTCCCTGTTTACTACAACCGCCATTCGCCACCCTTTATGGGGGTAATTTATTGGTAGACTTTGGGGTAGGGGGGTTTATGATTTACACCCCCCCCCCGTTTACCGCCCCCACAGTTTACCCCTCCTCAATTTACCCACCCCCCCCCCCCCCGCAATTTTAGTTTAAACCCCTCCCACGGTTTATTGGGCGAGGGGTTTGGGCAAATACGGACGGATGGGGGGTAAAGTGTGGGCGGGGGGGTGGTTAATTCAAGTAGGTTAAGATTAAGATTGCGAGTAGGCCATGAGTAACGCAGAAATGTTGCAAGTTTTGCGAATGATTTTGCAAAAGATTTTGCAAAAAATGTATGGATTATAATCCGTTATAATCCATTATAACGGATTTTAATGGATCGCGTTTGTACGAAAATAATCGATTATAATGACAATATAATCGATTTCGTGGTCTAAATTTGCCACAATAATGGACTATAATGACAAAATTTTAGACAACAGTTTTCCATTATAATCGATTATTATCCATGGAACTCCGGTGCGGGTAAGATTTCCATCTTCGTCATTGTTTTTGCATAACTTTGATTTTATTTTTGGATCAATATTTTCGGGCAATTCGACTGCTAAAAAATTTCAATGGAAATATTTGACTAACTTCTAGAATCAGTTGAAATGTATACTTGAAGAACTCTTAAAACAGAAATTGGTCAAGCATTGAAACAACACTTAAATGAAAGAATTGTAGAAGATAAAACTATTTCACAGACATGGCAAATCTCAATTGGATCATTCATTGGGCGTGTTTAATAAACTATTCTAATTCTATGGTTCTATATGAACAATGTATGTACATAAGCTTAAATGTTAAAACGTTAAAAGGAAGTAGTTGAATTAAGATCGATAAAAAGGACAACTGAACTTCCGTTCATATCGACCGATGGTCGTAACTAAACTGGGATTAATTAAAATACCGAAGGTCATTATACCATACTAAAAACAAATCACAACATTTCCCACCGGGAAAAAAATGAAACTGCAAACTAACTATATAACTCTATATACACCCTTTTTCCCCTCCGAAAATGAAAGAATTTTACAAACTGCACCCAGAGGGTAAATATACAGCAGCAAAATAAAATCCACAATTGAAAGAGAATGTAGCAATGTACAGGGTGGCTATACAGAATTACGAAATTTACAGAATACGGCAACTAACTAAATAAAACTAATCCACAACATGTACATTTACATGTACAATTGTATCTACAGGTAAAATTAAAAACTCCGGCGGTAAAATATGGATTACAGAATTGTTTTGTTAAGTTTGAATTGATATGTTGATTACAAGAATTGGTCCTCAAACTCATCCAATTTAGCTCTCACTTCCGAATCTATAGTTGATGAGATCTCGCTATAGTTGTCCATCTCTAATGTGGGGTCCTTTGAGGTCGGGTAAGTTAAAATTGAGTCCAAAGAATTCTCGTGGAGGTGAGTCTTCGTGGTAGAAGTTGCAAGTGTGACCGTCGGGAGGGAGTTCCTTGAAGACCAGGACAACGTAGTTTCTGCTACTAGGATCTGTCTGGAAGGCGCCTCCGCTAATGGAGTCAAAAGGTCAAAAGGAGAGTTGACCGCGAAAATAGAACTGTGGGATTCCGGTACCTGAGAGAATACGGTAGTTGACACCCCTAGGTCGTCTTTTTCTTGCACCACGTCTATAAATCTCCGATTTCCGTAAAACTTAGGGGGGCCCACATATCTGCGTGGTCTAGAGTTTCGGGTCTTTGGAGTCACGCTGGTCGTCTGTTCCGGAATACTGTCTACCGTAATTGGGTTGTCCTGTGATCCTTCAGTAGTATTCGCGTCGTGTATGACCACAATTTCCCGCGGGTCGTTGTTCACTGTCCTTTCTGAGCTCAATAGTGGGGATTCGACATGACCTGTAATACTTCATCCCTGATTAGACTCGGTATGGGGGTTTTGAGGTACGTTATTATTGGTCACATCGTCAAAGTAATCCTCGATTATCCCGTCCCACGAATCTAGATTTAAGGAAGATGAACCTGAAGAAAATCTTGGAGAGTCTTGAGTGGCCGAGCTCGCGGTCGTTACGCTAGTCCCTGCTCTGGTGTTCTCCGTTCTCGGGGTGCCTTGTATCGAGTGGCCGGCTGTTGTCGATCCAGCTTTCTTCGGTGGAGAAAGTTTCCTTTTCCCAGCTAAACTCGAATGAGTATGAATATTATGCCCAGTGGGTGTCTGATTCACTATTATCTTTTTGGGCCCTGGGAGTATTTTTCCTTTTATAGCCAGATCCGATTTACGCAAAACGTGATCGTTGTCGAGGGTAACTGTGTGCTCTGAAGAATCGATGATATCCTTCTTAACCAGATTAAAATAAGGGTCCCAATTTTTCCTGTTAGTCAACTTTCTATATAAGTTACCTCCCATTACTGCTTTTCTTTTTCCCAGTGGATCTGAAGTTCGGATAGTGACGTCCGGGGTTGTGTGTAGGCTTAAAGTCCTAGCTAATGGCATTTTTTCTTCTGGGTCCGACGTGCTGTCCTTTTCCTCGTCCAAATAGCCATCTCCTGCCCCGTCGTGTAGTTCCCAGTTAGTGGCCCGCTCTTTGGACAATATAGCCTTCCCTTTATCTAATTGGTCAATATTGGACATCAGATTTTTCCACCTAGTGTTCGCTACTTTATTAAAATGCTTTTCAAATGGAGTACAGCCGATCGCCGTTTGTTTTGAGATTCTCAGATTCCAGATGATTTTCTCGATCGAATCGTTTAGAGATGGCTTGGGTACTTCGAATGACATTGCCAGTAATTTCGATTTAATTGTGTACACTAGTCTTTCCACTAGCCCGTTGGATCTGTGGTCTCCGACAGTGCAGTAAATGATTTCTATATTAAA